ACATTTTGAAGAGAATAAATCTCCAAACATACCTTCTCGAAAGCATTGCGCAGAACTAAAGGATCATATGGGGTTGAAGGAACCTGCTCAGAGTACCACGGAGGATTGTACCACCTCCTAAGCCCTCCTACAAGAAAGCAGTAAAGACATTTCATGAAACTTCTACATCGAAAAATGCCTAGAGTTTATTACAAAAACCCACCAGGATAGACTAAATGCGTAGTTGTTTAATGGAATACAAACCTTGTTTACTTGAGTAGATGTGGCCAGGAGGAAAAGACATAAACTGTTCACAATCATCACTAAGAGCTTTCATCTCGGAAGCAAACCAGACAGAACCTATAAAGGATTTAATTAAACATTAGAAAAGTAGTAGATTGGAAAAGATAGCATAAGCTTAAGCCTTATTGAAGTGAATTGCTTAGGAAAACGTTAGATCATATACCATCAAGACCCCATCCAATGTAAAGTGGAGTGATACCAATGGCGTCCCTTGCAGCAATAAAACTTTTGTCGCGAGTATCAAGAAGGACAAACGCGAACATTCCATCCAACATATCTATAAATTCCTCTCCATGTTCTTCATACTGCACGACATAAAATTCAACAATAGAGATGCTCAGTTACATTTCACAAACTGGCAAAATTCAGATCTATGCAAAAAAAGTCCAAAAGATGGTAATCCAGAAGCAACAATTCAGTGTTTCCCCAATTACAGACACTTACAAGATGTGCAATCACTTCACAGTCACTACCAGTACGGAATTGATGAGACTTTAGCTTTTCACGCAAAATCTTATGGTTGTATATCTCTCCATTGACCTGACATCATTAACACATTTCAGATGGTACTATTGACAAGCAAGCAACAAGGGTCTAAATTCTCCATTTATTAACACATGATACTAATTGACATTGTTTCAAAGACAAGAGAGAGTACCGTGACAGCGACGGTCTTGTCTTCGTTATAGAGAGGTTGGTCTCCAGAAGTAGGGTCAATGATGGCTAAACGCTCATGAGCAAGATAACAATCTTCATAACAATGGAGTCCACTCCAATCAGGGCCTCTATGCCTCAATCTACACAAACAAAAGTAACCAATCAAAACATCAAATCGGGTCTATATATGATTCATCAATTGAGTAAACGCACACATTCCCATAGAAAAAGTTGAAACCTTTATTCCAATTTATAAACGATTCGTCAGGAAAAAGTTGATGGAGAAACTTTTTAAAATGGGTGATTGATTGATTCAATGGAAACAGAAGAGTACCTGCGAGAGAGTTCGATGATACGAGAACGTTTAGCTTGAGAGTTGTCGATGCAACCAAGAACAGCGAGAATCCCACACATTGTGTTAGTGTGGCAACGAAAACAAACAACAATGGCTTCTCTGAGAGAAATGGATTATTAGAATTTATACGGCCGTTGATTTTGACTATTTATGATGATTTTTAACCCTAATCTTTTTAGTTACTCTTTTTTGTGATTGGGAGAGATTCATATCATCATTGTCACAAGGTCCATTGGTTTTTTTTTGTCGATTATTTGGATTAGAACTTAATAACGTTTTGGCTGGCCTTTGGCGTTACGAAATCACGGATTGAACGAATGCAACAATGGCTCAATTGTATGGCTTTTACAAATTAAACCTGAAATCGCATTGTCTCAATCTGCCACATTGAAAGGAACAATCAAGTTGTGATTTTTCAAAATAAACATGTTTTGTCACAGTGTTACTATGTATTAGGAAGTCCATGTGCTTGAAACAATGAACTTGTAGATTTTTCATTATGATTTGTATGTCTCTCTCTCTCTCTACTTGAATGAAACAATTGTCGACTACTTTTTATCCAAAGTTCACAATTTCAAAGATTTGTTGAAGGTATAGTCCAATAAATGAAGCAATCCTATTCTACTATTCTTTGTGAAGAATGAAAAGAGAAACATACGTCTAAATTTGACTAACAAAATTATCTCAAAAATTATGTAAATTTTAAAGAATTGAAAAGATATATCATAGCTGTATTCCTCCTCAATTTTTCCTCCAAATGGGTCAGCAAGAATTTGTCTTTTTTTGTTTTAAGTACAAAATTAGATGGTGTTTTATTATTTTTTTCTAATCTAGTTTTGGCAAAGTTGATATGGATAATCTTGTAATTTTTCCAAAAAAAAAAAAAAAACTGTTTTCATACTTGTACCACAAATACGACGTCGTTCTTGTGGTTCATCTGTTGAGAAAACGACGTTCAATGTAGAAAAAGTGATAAAGCGTCCTTGAAAGCGCAAACCCATTCTCGACCCAAAGATCACCAAAGCGAAGACGATCTTCTGGATTCTCGGCGGCCGGAGATTCATGGCGACGGCTAACGGAGCAAAGAGTCCGTCGAGTATGGGCCCTAAGGTTTTGTTTTATTCCATATTGCTTACTCTTCAGTACGGAGCCCAGCCTCTGATCTCCAAACGCTGCATCGGGTACGATCTCTGGCAACAACCTATGCCTCTAAATCCCTGTTGTTGGTGACAGTCTCGTTCTTATTCTGTAAATTCGTGCGCTTTTATCTGGAAATGCGAGATTTGGTTGTAGTTAGTCTTATGTAGTGATGGAATTCGATTTCTGGCATTTGTTTTGTTGGCTTTTATCGATTCAGTCTGCGAATTATGCTTCGGGATAGTTACGGAAGCTTACAATTTCGAAGTTATGTGCGACGATTGTGATGTATTCTCGTTGTTCCTGTGAGAAAAGACGATGATCTTTGTTAAACTAAGCCATGTCCGACTATCTAAAGTGTTTGAGATGAATTTGAATCTACTAGTTTGCTACATTGGTGGCTTGAAATCATAGTGTTTAGTTGTTCTTTTTAGTTTTTCAGGGTATTATTTCGTTTAGTTTAGTACTTGATGTTGAGTTACTATGGCAGATTTCGAACTCTATGCTCAAATAATGAAGCTAAATTAACAGAAAAGTGCCATGGATAGTTAGAACCTAGCAGGCTTGTTCACTAGTCCATTTTTTTTGTTTCTTTACATTTAATGGATTGTCTCTATCTTGGTTTGGGCACACCGCATTCTTTACTTGGTACGATATCAGTCTCATTATTATTGTTTTTTGCAGGAAGGACGTTATTGTTACTTCATCTGTTTTGACATGCGAGATTGTTAAGGTATCGATTTTCTCCTTTCTACTTTTGAAAATTTTGCACTTTTGAAATACTGTTTCTGAAAATTCGCATGCTTCTGTTGTATGTTCTTTTTCTTTTTCAGGTCATGTGTGCTCTGATTCTCATGGCAAGAAATGGTAGTTTGAAGGGATTATCAAAAGAGTGGACGTTGATGGGATCCTTGACTGCATCTGGACTTCCTGCAGCCATATATGCACTGCAGAACAGTTTGCTGCAGATCTCATACAGGAATCTTGATTCCTTGACGTTTTCAATTCTGAATCAGACGAAAATCTTTTTCACAGCATTTTTTACATTCATAATTCTAAGGTAACATTCAATTTTCTTGTTCTTATGGTCTTGTTTTTGATTGAATGCTTGAAATTTTGAGTTTGTGGGGATTTGTATTTTCATGAGCTAGTGCCTACATCGCATGTGAATTAGAGATTTGTAGTGTGATTGCCTGAATGGCTTTATTTTGGCTGCTTCTCTGCTCTAATGTGATACCTACCATTTCCATGAAGCTGCTCCATGACAGTAGGAATCTTCTTCGAATGATTTTATTAGATAAGGCAGCTGTTGATACTATCAGATCAAAATATTGAAACGCGCTTCTCAAGAATTTTACTTGTTTTTCTCTTATAGCTATAGTCTTTTGAGGAAATTGTGACGAATTCATAGTTGCTCGATGATATTCAGATATGGTGATGTTTTTGCTTGAAAAGTGTTTAACACATCATCTCGAATGACATCTTGTAGGCAGAAGCAATCAATTCAACAAATAGGAGCCTTGTGTCTATTGATCATGGCAGCAGTCCTTCTAAGTGTTGGTGAAGGATCTAACAAAGATTCAAGTGGCATTAATGCGGATCAAAAGCTGTTTAATGGAATTATCCCGGTCTTGGTAGCCTCAGTGCTCTCGGGTTTAGCCTCTTCTCTATGTCAATGGGCTTCTCAGGTCATCCAGAGTTTAAATGTCATATTCCTATAAAAAAATATGTAGTTCAAGTGATACATAGCCTTACCGTCTCATTGTTACAGGTCAAGAAGCATTCATCATACTTAATGACGGTTGAAATGTCTATTGTTGGAAGCCTCTGCTTATTAGTAAGTACCCTTAAATCTCCAGATGGTGAAGCGATTAAAAGATATGGCTTCTTTCATGGTTGGACAGCTTTAACACTGGTAATAAACTCTCTCGTTAGTTATCCTAAAACGATTCTGTTGATAGAAAACAGTTAATTCTGATTGTCTGTGTACGCACTGTGACGACTGTTCTTATAGGTCCCAGTAATAAGCAATGCCCTTGGTGGGATTCTTGTTGGCCTAGTTACATCACATGCCGGTGGTGTAAGAAAGGTAAAACAAATAAACCTCCCAATCTGATATTACACAATCAAAAGCTGAGATATATAATGTCGTTGTTTTGGTATTGCAGGGATTTGTGATTGTGTCGGCATTACTTGTGACAGCGCTACTTCAGTTTGCGTTTGAAGGAAAACCGCCATCATCGTATTGCCTGGTTGCTCTTCCTCTTGTGATGAGTAGTATCTCACTGTACCAGAAATATCCATGCCTTGACAAGAAGAAGAAGAAGGTTTAAGAAGAAGATTCCATTCACAGAATAGCTGCTAAAAATTCAACAATGAGATGTCTTAATTAATGCCATTAGTAGTAATTAACTAGATGATGATAGTGAATGATTCTTGGAGCATTCAAAAGACATTGTAGTATATTTACATTCGAAGATGGAATGAGTCCAATTGTGATCATATGTAAGGCCTATAATAATAGGCCCATAGCTTACGCAAATCAACCCAATATTAAAAAGCACATACAGTTTTGAATATAATTATATAATTGGCGGTACCAATATAAACGCGATTTTCACCATTCGATTCAATAGCCAAAAAAAGAGGCGAGGAAGGATGGGAGATTTAGGGAAGGGATACAAGCTAGTGTTCTTGGGAGATCAAGGCGTAGGAAAAACGAGCATCATCACTTGTTTCATGTACGGTAAATTCGACACCAGTTATCAGGTTCGCCCATCGGCTCTTATCGATTCCAACAACGCTTCTTATGCCATGTTTTTTCTTGTCTTGTTGTTTATGATGCATCATCATCGTCTAGACAACAATTGTGCCTTGATTCGGTGTTTCTGAGGATCTTAGACTCATAAATTCTTCAAATTTGATCGATTCTCTGTCCTGTATATACCTCTTTTCTTTCGATTCGGAATCAATCAAATAGTTAGGGTTTTTACTTTTTTTTTTTTAAAAAAATTGCAGGCTACAATTGGAATAGACTTTTTGTCCAAAACAATGCGCTATGAAGATAGGACTTTTCGTCTGCAATTGTGGTTGGCTCCATAACGATCTCAGTAGCATTCACTCAGCTCCTTAATTATTATAGCTAATGAAAATGTCTTGAGATTTGTTGTTTATGTTGAAAGGGATACAGCAGGACAAGAGAGATTTAAAAGCCTAGTACCAAGTTATATCAGAGATTCTTCTGTTGCTGTTATTGTCTATGATGTTGCCAGTTATGAGACTTTATTACTCTGCTCTCTATTTAAGTAGCATTGTGAAACCACTCATCTTCTTCACTACTTCTTAGAATGGTTGTAATTCTTATATGTGCAGGTAAGCAATCATTTTTAAACACCTCCAAGTGGATTGAAGAAGTTCGTGCAGAAAGAGGCAGCCATGTCATTATTGTTCTTGTTGGTAACAAAACCGATCTTGTCAATAAACGGTAACACAAAACAACCCATTCAAATCAAATCAAAAGTTAATTTCAAAAAAAGAAAAACATGTGATTGATTCAACAACAGGCAAGTTTCAATAGAGGAAGGGGATAATAAAGCTCGTGAGTTTGGAGCTTTGTTCATGGAGACTAGTGCAAAAGCTGGATTCAACATTAAGGTAAACAAACACACACACAAGGCAATGTGATAGAATATTCTGTGGAGTAAAAACAAACTTAAGTTGGTTGTTGTTTTTTGAGTGCAGCCTTTGTTCTGTAAGATCACGTCTGCGTTACAAGGAAACGAGGCAGTTTCTTGGACGAAACCAGAGGATTTAGTGGATGTGAATCTAAAGCCATTGATCATTTCATCTCAGGCAGATCATCAACAAGAAAGCAATTGTTCTTGTTAATGAAGACATTATACTTACAGACTCGAAATTTTTGATAAATCCTCTTTTGTTACAATGAAGAACTTTTTGTGAGTGTGATCTAGACTAAAAATGTCTCTGTAAACATCGGTTCTAACTTATTAAAAAAATAATTTAAGGTTTCTGATGGGAAAATCTCTGTAATTTGCTACATTAATGATAAAAAAAAAAACTCGAATTATGTTGGTAAGCAAACCCTCGTTGTGAGAAAATGAATGATGACGTGTCAACAATTTTTATCATGGTCACCAGAAAATAAATAGAGAAGAAAGCGCTTGTCACTTTTTTCAGCAAAACCTTAACCTGAGAAAATTTTGCTCTGCGGCTCAAACGATGTTAGTGACAAAGTGACTGTTGAATCAAATCTCATTTTGTTGTTGGCTTTAATTTGTTCAAATTTCCGATCTCGACACAGTTTTATTTCGTTTTAAGGATCATCACAACGATCGATTTTGTTTCTCGACCTTTGTTCGTCTGTTTCTCTGTTTGAAAAAAAAAAGAAGGGTTTTTAGGGTTTAAGCAAAAATGTGATCCGTGATTTTGCTTGCTTTGTTGCAGATTTCCGGTGATGGGTTTCAGATCGGTTTATCAATCTCTCACCGAGTTATTTCCACAGGTAAAGCTCTTCTAAATCATTATCTCAAGTTTTAACTCAGGATTGTTGTGCTTACAAGGACACTGGTTTGTTTCTTTGTTGTTTGTTGTTTTTTCATGAAATCAAATTTAGTGTAATTACTATATTAGACCCGACAGCGAAATCAAGAAAGCTCTCTGTATTTAATGTTATTATATAGTATGAGCAATGATTGATCAAGAACTCTCACGTGCTATATATACATGTTGCTGTTGTTGAATAGTGTCACATTGTTTTTATACATTACAGATTGATCCAAAGATTCTAAGAGGTGTTGCAATTGAGCACCAACATGATGCTGATGAAGCTGCTTCTCTTGTTATTTCTGAGATTTTTCCTTTCTCTTCCCCAAATTCCACTCAACCCCGCAACAAGAACAAGACCAAGATCTCTGATAATCCCCCTAACTTGAAAGGTATACTTGTTCTAGTCTCTGATTGATATTTTAGCACCATTCTCTTTTAATACTGCTATAAATGCTTGTTGGAATTGCAGTAGAAGGTGACGATGGGAGTTTGTCTCTGTCTCAATGGCTTCAACCATCTAAGCTTCCACATAGTTACCTTGCTTTGCTCAACGAAGAATCTACACCTGATGTCAAACCTCCTCCCGATTACGTCGTTGAGAAAGTGGTTCTGCCTAGTCGTGGCTCTGCAGCTGGTGTAGGAGGAGGAATCCGAACCATGTACTCTTCTGATAACATTGGTGGTTCTTCCTTGGTGAAACCTTCTATTCGTGTACAAAGCCGCACCAACTATGAGCTCTCTGTAAGCATCTCAAAACATCTCTCTTTTTTTGTCTTTTCCTTCAAATTTACATCCTTTGGCGCATCTTTTATATCAGGGAAGCAGCAGTAAGGCTCATGTGGGTAGACGATCCTCTCGCAAGTCTGCGCAGCCATGGTCCCCAGACTACTCTCAGGTCAAGTTTCATCACATTATTAAAGTATTGTCTGATCTGAAAAGTCTCTTGTTTCAGGAGCTAACTTCTGTTTATTGTATCAGAAGCTGAGAAGTTGGAAAAAACGGAACAACAACCGTGACTTCTCACAGCTCTTTGGCAATGACAGAGATGTACCCTCGAAGAAATCCAACAAAAACAAGTACAGATGTTATACCAATGAGCGTGTAAGTATCACCTGTGATGATTCCATCTATTGTTTGATGTTATATGAACCATTGGTTCTACGTTTTATCAGGAGCGCAGGCAGAGAATTGACGATAACATCAAGGCATTAGGGAAATTGCTCCCACATAAAGTTGAGGTAACATTGTTAGAATTATATTTTTCCAACTAGATCTTGTCCACATATAACTCATGAGAGATTGAATCTTAATTGTTGATTTATGTGATCTTGTAGGGGGATAGCCCTGGATTGACACTGAATGCCATTGTTGATCATGTTAAGCTACTGCAGCTACAGATGAAGGTATTGTCTTACTTCTCTTATCTTTTCTCTTCTTTCTCAACTTGTTTATTTAGGGAAAATAGGTGTGATGGAGAAAGCCAAATCCAAACCAAAAGCTCTTAATCTAAAACCTGACATTTTGAGTTATTATGGATATAGGAATTAAGTCGAAGCAGGCTGGGAGAACCAGTATCTCATCCTATGACATTCATTGAGGTAATACAATAATGCATCTAAAGCAAAGATAAATGATATAGTAATGTGTTTGTTTCTTAGAGTGAATGTGTTGTTTGTGATAGGGATACGGTCACTACATACATCACGAGCAGACGGTGACAAAATCTCTGGAGGAAGTAATGGAAGATATGCTTACAAATGACTTGGATGCTGCGGCTAACTTGTTGGAGAGCAAAGGACTATACTTAATGCCTTTGTCCTCAGTCCAAGGCTCCTGCTGATGAGTAATCAACACACATGCCTCTTCTAATCTGCAAATCCCAAACACATGGAATCAAAAACAAAGTAAAAAACCTTTACACCAATCTTATGTTTAGTATAACAACTAGGAGATGGAATCTTTTTGTCTAATGAGAGTATCAGATAACTTCTTATCATGTGATATCTTGTGATATCTTCCAAATTCTTATCATCAACCCCAAATAGAAAATGTATGCATTTTATGAAGAAATAATTAATCTTTTGTCAAAAATAAACGAAATATAGACGATGACGTGTCAACCAATATTGACATCGTCAGCAGAAAAAGGCACCAAGTCACACACTTTAACCAAAACCAACCTAAAATATTCTCTGTTAGTGTGTGAGAGAGCAATGGAAAGCTTAAAGCTTTGAGAAAGAAAGAGCAACTATCGATATTATTAGTCTTCTCTTCTTCCTTTAGATCCCAACAGCTATTGAATCTATTTCGTTCTTGGGTGTTGCTGAAAGTTTCCGATTTGCTCAAATTTGTCGAATTTGCCATCGAAAACCCAGTAAAATGCGTGGCCTTGATCGATGGATAGCTGAAGCAATCAGACCAGACTCATTGGATCACAATGGTCAAATCCTCGGCGGGTTGTTTCTAGACGACTCTGTTCCTTCCTCGTCTGTCTCTTTTCTTTCCTCTAAGGATTGTTCCGTCAGTTCGTGTCGTTTCAGTCAAAAGTCGAGATTTTTGAAGTTTAGGAGACGAAATGGGACCAGGGAACCCCTGTTTCTGTCTGTTAGTTTATCGATTAAGGAGGGTAATGGTGAGGAAGAAGAAGGTGAAGGGTATAATGGTCAAAACGGCTTTAAATCGGAGAAAGGTTCGGTGTTGATCGGTGGATGTCAAGAAGCCACGGAGAAGCTTATGGTTAAGGAAAATGGAACAGGAGCTCTCAACACAACCAAGCATTTATGGGCTGGAGCTTTTGCTGCCATGGTTTCAAGGTCTCTCCTTCTTCTTTACTTATTCTACGAAAGCTTGAATGAGATTGAGTGTTAGTATAAGTGTTGGAGTTACTTAGTGATATGCTTATTTGAGATTTTGTATTGATATGGTTTGTTGTAGTTTGGTGGCTCATCGGGTTTTAGGGTTTTGGTTTGAGCAGAACTTGCATTGCACCTCTTGAGCGGATGAAGCTAGAATACATTGTTCGCGGGGAGCAAGGGAATCTTCTTGAACTCATTCAGAGGATTGCAACAAATGAAGGGATTAGAGGCTTTTGGAAAGGGAATTTGGTTAATATTCTCAGAACTGCTCCCTTTAAGTCCATCAACTTCTATGCATATGATACATATAGAGGCCAGCTTCTGAAATTGTCCGGGAACGAAGAAACTACAAATTTCGAGAGGTTTGTTGCTGGTGCCGCTGCCGGAGTAACAGCTAGTTTGCTTTGTCTACCACTTGATACCGTAAGTAGAATCACAACAAAAACTTCCTTGAGCTTCTTTTACCATTCTCTGGAGGTTTTTTAGCATTAGCTTGGTATTGAATTGCAGATAAGAACGGTTATGGTGGCACCTGGGGGAGAGGCATTAGGTGGTGTAGTTGGTGCATTCCGTCACATGATTCAAACCGAAGGTTTCTTTTCCCTATACAAAGGTCTTGTACCTTCACTTGTTAGTATGGCTCCATCGGGAGCTGTGTTCTACGGTGTCTATGATATTTTAAAATCAGCTTACCTTCATACACCGGAAGGTAAGAAACGGCTTGAACACATGAAACAAGAAGGTGAAGACCTTAACGCTTTCGACCAACTCGAGCTTGGTCCCATGAGAACTTTGTTATATGGAGCAATCGCAGGGGCTTGCTCTGAAGCAGCGACTTATCCGTTTGAAGTTGTGAGAAGGCGTTTACAAATGCAGTCACATGCGAAAAAGTTAAGCGCTGTGGCTACTTGTGTGAAGATCATTGAACAAGGAGGTGTTCCTGCTCTATATGCTGGCTTGATTCCCAGCTTATTGCAGGTATGATTCCGTAATACTAGTCATAAATGAATCTCTTGAACCTGTTTTACAGCTTTGTTAATTGCAGGTTTTGCCTTCCGCGGCGATCAGTTACTTTGTTTACGAGTTCATGAAAGTTGTTCTGAAAGTAGAATCAGCATAAGACAAGAAAGCTATGAGAAAAGACACAATTACTGCCACTGGGCTTACTGCTGGAGCCGCTTCAGAGGAGAGATTTTTCGTTTTTTTTTTTTTGGGTTTTACACGGATCCGCGAAGTTTTTTTCCACTTCAACAGAAACTGTAGGTTGTGAAACGTTTTTTTGCAAGAAATAATAAGATTTGGAAATTTCCAATTTGGTTTGCTGTGTTCTGAACCTCTGATATATAAAGCTTGCTCGTACAAAATGATCTAAACATACAACAATCACACTGTCTATGTCATCAACATCACAGAATGTTTGGAAGAATGCCATTAAGACAGTAAAACAAATGAGAATAGATTCAGTTTCTCGAAGATAAGTCCTCATATCTAAAATCACAACTGCCTTAAGACATCAAGCCAAGACCACACCATATGAGACTCTTTGAGTTCTCTTTACTGCCATCCATATTGTTGGTTTCTAGCACCACCCATAGGGTTCTGACCTCTTCCAGAGCCACCAGATCCACCGTACTGACCACCACCTTGGGAGTAGTTAGGCGGTCCAACACCATAGCCACCGCTAGGTCCTCTAGGACCGGCGGCATATGGTGCACCTCGACCTTGTGGAGGATATGCTCCGTTGCTGTAACCTCCACGGCTCTGATTATTATAACCACCAGGCTGGTTCCCGCTTGGAGGGTACCGGTTTTGACCAGGTGCACCACCACGGGGCTTTCCATAGTAGTGGCCGCCAGGTCCACCAGCAGGTATTTGGGGTGGTGGTGCGTTGTTGTTCATAGGGTGGTTTGGACCAGCAGGCCAATGTGGAGCGGCATGAGACTGACCAACACCGTGTTGCTGTGGAGGTAAACGAGAATGTTGCTGCGGTGGATGCTGCAGTTTCTGTTTTTTGGCTGCTTCCTCGTTATGGCGCATCTGTTGCCGCTTTTTCTTTGTCTGGAACTCATGTGATGATTCATATGTCGGTAGACTGTTGACATATAAGACAGTTTCAGTATGAGCTGAATCACTCACTAATTGTTATTGATTGTCATTTATTGATGTATTATGAACCAAATGGGTTTCCATAACAAGAAACTTAAGAGAATTTGATTACCTCTTTGGATCACATGGCAGCGGATCAGTCCAAAAGTACTCAGCATCAAGTGCATCCTTTGCCGATATTCTCTGTACCAACAGAGAGGAAAATTGAAGGACTTAAATGTCTAGACCAAGGCTCTTGATTTCTGCAATTTGCTAATATTCCAGACAATAATTCTCTGTATTTAAAATTCTTTGGTACCTGGGCTGGGTCAAGTACCAACATTTTCTCAAGTAGTTCAAGGGCATGGCGATCAAAGCTATAGCAGAAGAGAAAAAGACCAAATTAGATCTCTTGGATCAAAGTAACTGTTGCATAAAAGTGTCGCAACTACATAAAGGTTATACTTACTGCCTGTAGATCTCCCTTACGCGTCTCTTTAAGGGCCGAGATGATTTCATTTGGCCATACCAAGGCATCTTGGAAACTCCAGGCCAGTTGTTTTCATCCGGTGATCCACAAAGTTCATAAATCTTATTCAGTTGTTCACTCTTAAAAAAAAAAAAAAAAAAGCAGTTGAGTAAAACGCTAAGTGGAAACATTATCAAAGAACACTGTATTAATACACCACGGATAATTAAAAGATGAAATCCTGACCTCAGTTTTCCCAGGCAAGATTGGTTTTCCATTCAGAAGCTCAGCAAATATGCATCCAACCGACCACATGTCAATCGCTGGTCCATATTTAGTTGCACCAAGTAGCAATTCCGGAGGCCTACAGCAATAAAAGATGCATTAAGTAGAGAATCAGCTGCACGTACAAGCAATACTTATTCTTTGTCTTCTTTTATGTATATAACTTCAAAGTTTGTAGGCATACATACCTATACCACAATGTGATGACACGGTTTGTAAGGTTTCCAGAATGATCATGAGAAAATGACCGAGCAAGCCCAAAATCCGCAAGCTTTAAATTTCCCTCATTGTCAATAAGTAGGTTCGAACCTGCACCGAGATATTATAGGTTAACTAGCAAATAAAGACAAGAGAACCAAATGGTCAACAATGTATTTAGGGATAGTCACCTTTTATATCACGGTGAAGCACTTGATTCACATGACAATAGTGGAGCCCAGTGAGCAGTTGCTTCATGTAACACTTTTTTACATATGTTCAAATGTCAGACAAAGTCGGAACAATAAGGTGTTTGCAAAGGCTACTACAACAAGGTATCTAGCCATGCAATACCTTTATCTGAGGGACAGTAAATCTCAGTCCAGGACGATCAGCAAGTCCAGTCAAGTCATGATCCATGTACTCAAAGACCATGTAGATTCCACCCTTGTATTTATTATTATCTAAAATTGAAGCAGAGCAACAAGCTTTAGGCGAGGATAATGAGTTTAAATAGATCTATCATAGTCGCATCTAAGTTCTACAGAAAATATTTAGATCTCGAATAAGTTTCACTAACCTGGCTTTCCTTGATCATCCCTATCTCGACCTTTTAAAGACAAAAACAATCACAAAACTCTACATATCAAACTTAACCCCTCTTTTAACGGAATTTAAAGCAATTACAAGCTAAGATAAGTGTTCCTTATTACCTGGAGAAGTGACAATCTCTTTCAAATGGATGACATTTTCATGATGTAGCTTCTTGAGAATTTTTATCTCCCGGATAGCTGTTATCGGAAACTTCATGCAAACAATGATAAGGAATATATAAGTCATATTGAATTCACAAAAGTTTGCATCTTTTCAAAGCTAGAGTAATTCACATGTAGCTTACCCCTTCTCTTTCATTGTCCATACGGATCTTTTTCAGAGCCACGATTTCACCAGTTTTAATTTCTTTAGCCATGTACACTTGACTGCAAAACCAAACCAAATATATAAATCTAAACCCCATAAAAAGAGAAAGCTTCATATGCTTATGCAACATATCTATCTACCATATCAAGAATATGATAATCATGCAATCCGATATCTACATGTTCAGAGGACAAGTCTTA